CCCGGTCCCGATTGCTCTCGTTTTAAGGGTAAGAGCCGGTTTTCGCATGCCTCAGCAAACTCCTTTCGAAGTTTTCCTTGCTGAATGCTCGTCGAAAAGTTTCTCGTCGCGGGATTTCGCGGCTGGCCCGGCGCAGCGTGGCGCGAGTACCGTGTCGCCCTTTTCAACCTCCCATCGAAGACGGAATTAAATCTGCTGCTCGCAGCATGGAAATCGGATTTGCCGGCGTCGTTATCGGCCGGGTGATTAATTACATCGATGTTGTTTAGCAGTGAAGAACGCGGCCGTGGAGTCATTTTGCCTAGGAACTCGGGAAGAGAGGAACGACCCGGGGAGGGTGGAAGAGACGAGGCGACGCGATGCGACGCGCGTTCCTCGCTTGGTCGTTTAATTACTGTCAGGAACGCGATTCCATCTTGTCTTGTATTGTCACGCGAACAAGACGAGGCCAGGTGAAATTAACTCGCGTAATTCACGGGAATTAATTTACCATCGTGAAAATTTATTAACTCTCGAGGATGCTCCTTTCAACGGGAATTCGAAAAATCGCGTCCGCGCGTTTGCCGTCTGGCCGGAAAAGCGAGAGATTAAAAAGAAACGTTCGAGATGGAACGAAGCCTCTGAAAGAGGATTTCGTAAATAGGAAAAGTGTCCCGCGCGAATGGAACGGCGGTCCACAGATCACCGGAAATAAATCGCTGGCTGGAATCAGACCGGTTCGTTCGGCGAACGGCAGTGAGAAAAATTTGTAGCCCCGGGACGGGACAGTTAACGGCGTGCACGGTTCTCCATCGATGAGGGAGAAGTCTGTTCGTCGTCGGCCAAATCGACAGATATAACCTGTAACCCGCAGTTTTCCGATACACTTAACATTTAGTCTCGCTTATCTCTAAGGAAGTGCGCCTGCACGTTCTCCGCGTCATGCACCTACAAAGGAAATTGTCCGTATTGATCCCTGATGTATCAGCGGACTGTTACCGGCTCGCCGAAAGTGCTTCCCGATTTCTTTTTACGGCCGGCTCGCATTTATTTCGCGTGCTGGACCATTATCAGAAACGTTACTACGGCGTCGATTGAACGAACTTCTCTAAGGAATTGAATTGAAATCGATTCGTCCCTTTTTTCTCTAAACGCTGTTTTTTTAATTGATCAACGACAGAATAACTCTACTAAATCCAAGAATGCCTCGTACTAATTCCAGTATATCCTCTTGGCCGTCACGAATGATTAAGACGTTCGTCTACTCTTTCGTTTCATGAATTTTTGTAACGAGGGAAAAATGTGAGCCCGGGTCCGGACTACGACATCGTCTGGAATGTCATAGAATTTGCCTCTTCGTCCTAGAGTTCGCCTTCTCTCTCTCTCTCTCTCTCTCTCTCTCTCTCTCTCTCTCTCCCGGTTCAATTATCTCCGAGCCCCGCTGGTCATTAGTATAAGCAGTGATGTCGATTACAAGGGTTCTTAATTACGACGTAACTTGGCGAACTTTTTTAATCGCCTTTTTTGGCCTAGCATCTCAATTTGTTCTCAATCTCGCTTTCCTACTTTTAAAACTTAACTTCTTGAAACTCCTCTTCTAGGTCCTTCGGTAATCGATCAACGTTCTGAATTTTAGTTCGACCCCTTTCTTTACCCCTAGACACGGGCACGAATTTTCTGAAATTACTTTTCGAATAAGAAGTTGCCAATTTCATTATCTATCCACGAGAACTCGTACGCGATTTCTTCGAACCAACAATGAAACTGTTAAACGATCGTCGATGCAGAATGAAAATACGAAACGTCATTTGCTTCTTAAAGTTGGACGGAGTCTTTATAAATGGAGATTCGTTTGAATGAAATATTTTACGTGGACGATATTCTCCGGTAACCAAGTTTTTCATCGTTTTTCAATACATTTCGTATGCGCCGATCTAATAAAACAGGGAAGGTCCTTTTATTTTATACATATGCAAATTTTGTGGAAAGTGAAATATCGGTAGGGTGGTTAGTTCACGCGTCGATGCTGGAGGGGTTTCGTTGCGATTAATACTCTTGATTATATATCGATTCGCGTCTTTTTTTTTCCATTTCGCGACGAAGCGGCGGCAGCTGCTATTTGCATGCGAGATTAACGAGAGGAATTTCAACGGAGCACGAGTCCCGTGTCACTGAAAAATAGTACGTACGTTCGGGAACCCGCGAACAACGTCTGCGATCCGAATATCCACGGTAACGACGCGACCATTTCTCCAGGGAACGTATTATAGCCACGTGCAATCTCTTTGATTGGAACACGTAGACGTATACGTTACGACACGTTTCATTAAAACCAAATTCTTTCGCATTCAAACGGTCACAGAGCAAAACATTATTGCTCGACATTTTTGTTCAAGTATCCAATTGCTCCATACGATCAAGCGTATAGATAATATTTTTGACACGCGACATTTGCTCGTTCACGCTCGTAGATCGTCTCGTTATGACACGAACGGAAATGATACGGATGTAACGGGAATGGAACTACACATGGTCATGATTACCGCGAGGAAGAGAGCTTCTTATTAAATTACAATATATTTACGAGAAAGTATACACGTAGATTTTCACGGACGCGTGCTTTCACGTCGTGGAGTGTAACGCCCCTCGGATTCCTCGCGAAATCCCCGGCTGAAAGCTCTCGACGCTCACCACAGACACGTTCATATCGCTCGTCCATCAAAGCGAACGGAGAGAAAATAAACCGGGCGAAAACGACCGAAATTTCTCGAGACCTCTTTCCTCTCTCCATTCCGGGAAGAGTAAGGAAGCCGTAGAAATAATACCGCGCTCCGTAGAAACAACGGGGGAGCTTTAAACGGCGTAGGTACAAAACGCTATACATATACAGTAGATACGTAAGAAGAAAAGCGGTGAAGAATCGTCGCGATGGACGGCGGGGGAGATCGGAGGTTAAGTGAAATTGAAGTTCCACCCACTGATGAAAACTGCTCGCGGGGTTCTAAGGTGACCGGGGACTCCTTCGCAATAGTTTCGTTTTCTTTTAATCTCGGTAGGGCTTTTCGCGTGGCGTCTCATCATCGGGAAGACCGTCGATTCTGTTTCCATTTCTACCGTCGCGAGATGAAAGAAACTTGTACCTATACTTCCGTATCCTCTGTTAATATTACGACAAAACCGGCCTAACGAGTTTTACGAGTCCAAAGTTTGCCATTGTGCAAAATGATTAATAAGTTTCATCCATTTCGCGGAACGGGCGACGTAAACCGACGAACGAATTTAAACCAAGTTCCGTGAACTATTCTAAAGTGACTCGGCAATTCTATTTCTTTATGCATCTATAAAATTCTGACTCTTCATCCGTATGATACGGCTCATAAATCTAGCATGATCGAATAGCAGCGTGATCGTAAGTCTCCGCCTATCGATCACGGGATTGAACGATCGTTGGGTAAAAGGGGTTCGCGTATCGCGAGGAAAGATCTTCAGGTACGTTTGATCGATGACCGTTCATTAGGTTTCGAACGTGCAAAGGTATCGACGTCGGTTCATCTCGATGATGTAACGCCCGAAGATGGGTGGGTGCGATTAAGACCTCTTCTCGCGATCCTTGCCTGGTCTAGACTCTACACCCCGTTATCGGTCACTGTTATCTTTCTCTCGCCAAGCCGCGTTGCTGGCTGTTAACTCTACAACGAAACGTGCGCGGGACAAGCATCTGGGTTAATGAATTGCCAGAACGGAGCGAAACGAGTCACGTGTGCGGCTCTCATAGAAGGACAATGGCTCGTGCAAAAAGTACGGCCGTACGCCAAGTTTTATTATACTCTTGTAATTTGTTACCCTTTGACGTCTAGCGAATACGTGATTAAATTCACCGTTACTTATTCGCCACATAATAATCGTATATTTTCATATCGACTCTCTATGCACCTTTTATGCACCTCTTTTTCCATTCATGAATATCTTACGTATCTTTAAACATTTTTCATTCGACTTATATATCCATCTGCTGTGTTTATTCCATCAATCTCTGTGAATCTATCCCCTGTTCGCTTTTATTACATAATAACTGACTCCTATGAACATCGTCGCTCTCTCGTACGTATTATGTTTTCCATTTTTATCGTTTTAAAAATAACAGAATCGGTATAAATTCCGCGTGCCGCGGGATCGATAATGCGTCCCCTTTCGTTTGTTCTTCCGTATGCACATATGCATCGATGTTTGTTTGTGCACTGAAATATTCAATGAAACGGAGTGTATGCTAGAGCGGGGTAGGTAAACCGAGCCACTTCTGGATACATTGTTAATAGACGTTCATGCCCCGAAGGGCTGCGTTGCGACTACAACGAACCAACGTGAATTATTATCATTATGAGAGAAACGAGTATGAATTTATTTGTACCAATTTACGAATGGACAAATTAATACGGATGGTCGAAATAAGAGCCCTTCTCTGATCCTCGTATGAACTTATTTCTTCGAAAACGATAAACGTAATGCGCGTTGAAATCTGAAACATGTTTAATCGAATACAATCGCACCCCCGCGTGAAACGTATTAATCGACGCGGTACAGAGTCCGACGGTGAATCGTGGGCGGGTGACGCGCGCGGACGGAAGATACAAAAAACGAGTAAACAGTCGAGGGGTATTTGGAACAGACAGTCGTACACAGTTCGTAGTTTGCTCTCGGCGATCGTTCCGTACGTTGCTCGGTCGTCGTTTGTTCGCGTGGTATCCGCGCCGGTGCCTGCGTTTGACGCTGAATCTTTGATGGTTCTCCTTCTCGTCCCATCGTCTCGACGATTATCGCGAAGAAACACGCGCGTCCCGTTGCGAGATTGAACTGTGACCGACAAGTCTAACGGCTTGAGGGATGAACACATGCAAGAGAGATGATTGAACAAAAACTAAAGAAATAAAAAAAAAAAATAAAGACGGCTTGGTATCGAATCGGAAGTACAAAGTAAGCTCGACCGCCGCAGCGCCCAGAACCACTAATGTGCTCGCTCGCAGCGCGGACGGCAACTTCGAGGTGACCTTGGCCACGAAGGCCACCATCTACCATCAAGGATTGGTCGAGTGGAAGCCCCCGGCCATTTATAAGTCATCCTGCGAGATCGACGTGGAGTACTTCCCATTCGACGAGCAGACCTGCGTCCTCAAGTTCGGTTCGTGGACCTATGACGGCTTCAAGGTAAACTTGCATGGTAGCCGCTAAGTTCCGACGCCGGATTAGACTCGGCGCGGTGGCTCCGTCCGCGACGCGGATCGATCGGCCTCGCGATGCGTCGCGCGACGCGACCACCCATCTCCCGTAGCCCTTAAGACACCACTTAGATTAGTCCCGAACGATCGGCTCCGCGAGATCCGCGTGGATTTCCAAACTCCCCGTTCGGTTCCAGTCTCTCTCTCTCTCTCTTTCTCTCTCTCTCTCTCTCTGTTTTTTTCGAAAATGAGTCGAAACCCACGCTGGGAGACGGATGCTGCCTGCTGCTATTTCTTTCGTACGTAACGAGATCACGGATAGCAGATAGAAGAGACTAACGAGGCGGAGCGACGTATCACGTGTATGATAACCGTGAAAGGGAGAACAAGGAAAGTCGGGGGAAGCTTTTCGGGTTCCGTTCGTTAGAAACGGTCGATGGCACTTGTAGCGACTAGAGATAAAAGAGAGGCATGAGCATAGAAAGAAGGTACAGGGTCGCGTTTAGCGGCAGCATCCGGCGCTCTTCGGAGAGGAGCCAATCGTGATCACGCTCGGCTCGTTTCTTCGGTGATTCCAGCGCCGACGGGAACTACGAGGTGACGCTGATGACCAAGGCCACGGTCTACTATTCGGGATTGGTCGTCTGGCAACCGCCGGCCGTATATAAATCCTCCTGCTCCATCGACGTTGAGTTCTTTCCGTACGACGTACAGACCTGTGTTTTGAAGTTAGGCTCCTGGACCTATGACGGTTTTAAGGTGCCACGAAAAGCAACGAGAGCACGAAATCGCCAGAATTATATTGAGAAACCTCTTTTTTGCTCGTCCATATATATGATTCGGTCTTCCCAGTTTATTCTCCTTGGTTTCAACCACTTTCGTTTCGTTGATTATATTTGTGTTCGATCAGAGAATGCCACCTTATGATTATATATATTACATATATATATATATATACCCGTAACCGTTTTTCTGCGATGCGCTGGTCTTGGACGTCATACGTCTTATATATTATCTATATATATTACATATATATATATTTCAATATTGTTACTTGATGTGGACTGCAGTGTTATTTGATTGACATTCGTCGTGATGTCGTACGATCAGCTCGTTTTTATATTATATATTATTCTGCAGTGTGCTCGAACGATCCTACAGGCTCGCATATTTGAACGCGCGTTTCTTTGATAATGGCTCGCGTCGTCGTTCTCGCGAGGATCCAACGCTACGAATAAATTTTTATTTACTTCCGACCTCTTCGTTGTTCGACTCGCGGTTCACGTTTCCTATTGACAACGTTCAATCTGATCCTCGCTTCGACGAACGACAGAAAAGAGCGATACGTCGAAAGTTTCAAAGGATGCCTCGATCACGAATATATACTCAGAATCGAGGTGAAAAGAATCTGCTTCGAAGCGTATCCAAGCTGGTCAGTCGTCTTGCTCTTTGACTCGCAGCTAGATCGATTTGATTAAACGTCTGATCGTGGGGTTCGATCGTTTATCCGATACGATACTCATTTAGGCTCCTGTCGTTTTACACGCGCGAGAGAGATTATTGTCACGCTCGACACGACTTTTTCGAATCCTACTAAATACACGATCTGTATTTGAACGTTGATCGTCTAGGGGTATCGATTAGATGGATCACCAGTCTTTGTAGACCGTAAAATTGTACACGATTCCTGACATTACGAAGTAGCAGAGAATTTCGTGAGTACAGTGGTTTTATCGGCGCCATCACGGTATTGAAATTTTGCATAACGAAACCCAGGCTTCCACGCTGTGGAATCGTGATAAGGAACGCTACGAAGTTCGATGTTCTTTTCATTCGCCGACACACCCACCCACATATTACCTTCCACCAGACACGTACACACACATACACACAGACACACACAACCACGCATACATGTACCTATGCATACATCGCATGAAAGTGATCGAGCATGTTTCATGGAAGCATCGCTTATAAGCTAACTGTGTAGCGAAACGAAGAATTGAATGTGAAGAAACAACGAACTAAATAAGCGTAGCCGGAATCAAATTTAGCTTGTGATATTACGTGTTCGATAGCATTTTTAAAGAAAATCTCTTTTTACAACAGCAACCTGATCCCTGTCGTTCCGATGAAATTGATGTTCTACCGTTCGAATAATCTTCGACTCGAAACCCATCGGACTTTGAAAGATCAGTGTTTGATCTGTAATTATTGGACATCGGTGAGGGGGTACGTCGTTGAAATTTGGAGAAGGAGTATCCTTTGACAATGTCATCGATAGATATATCACAAGTTCAATTCTATTCAGGGTGCGGCTTTACCCTCTCGAGCAAACAAATGTTTGTCGGCTTCCCTTCTATTTCTATAGTTTATCCCAGAAATTTTCTCTCACGTATACGTTCCACGGAATTTCGGGTTCGTGGAAATATGCAGACTCGAAATAGATTTAAATCGACCTGATAAAATAATTTACCAATCAATGAAGGTTAATCATCGCAAGATACAGGCCGTTGCCTTTAGACACCGCGACCTCAGATCGAATCGCCACGATTTTTAAAGATTGCGTAACCATAATTAGACCGCAATTACGCGACGCTTTAACCCGCCGGTGCACGCGCGAGCTTGTAAAAGCGACGCGACGGCGAGTAAATTTGCATTTCACCGACTTTGAGCCCCGTGAAAAATCTTCACCCTCTTCTATTCCCGGCTCGGCTCTCAAATTAAGGGTTCGGGCAAAGGGGCGATCTCCATGACAAAGCCATAAGGCGAGAGCCGGTTCGTCGGATCCATTTATCACGTAGGAAATGTAACCTCTTTTGAAAATTTATCGAGCCCGAGTGCTCGTTGAAATTCCATATTCGATTATGAAACGATATTAAACGCGAGACGCGGTTGAATAAATTATATTAGGTTCGTTGCCATCGGGAAGTTCGGTAGAAACGCGGAATGCACGGGTGACAAGGGTTCGAGAGAGTACGGGGTAATAAAAAAAAAGAGAAAAACCGGTGAATGGAGCATGAAATAGTACTTACATAACTACCTGCGCGAGCGGTGAACGATTCTGACGAATGACATTACGGGAACTTTTCTCGACGGAATTGTCACAGTTCTGCTCTTTCCTGTGTAACACTGTGGTAGCATAGAGGTTCGTGTTTGTACCTTTTAATTGCTAGATCTCAGTGTTGTTCAACGAGAAGCTGCCTGGTCATGAGAAAGAGGTCGTGAGCGATATTTCGAAGTTAGCCTTTTTTGCGAATTAGTGTATTATACTTGTTTTAGAAACTAGCGTCATAGATCTTCGGTATTTAGATCACTGGTTAAATGTGTTTCAAGCGTGAAACAGTTAGCGATCGATCATCGTCTCATCATCGCAGAAATTCATTTTACTTTGACAATTTAACTAGATTTTTTTTATATGAACCTTCCGTCAGAAGCGGTATTTTTCACTCGCCGAGTTTCGGCGAGGGCCATCGGTGACGCGATTCCGGGTTAACGACATACAAGGGTGAGAATTAAAATACGAATACGTAATGAAGTGGTCGGAATTAAATTAGACAGATTTCCTCGTATCAAGAGGTTGTACAGTGCCACTTGAACGTGGAATGCTACGGTAAAAGTTCTTTTCATGATTAATTCATTACACAATTTCGACCTCGTTTCGATATATGTAGATCACAAGACATGCTCGAGGCTCGAACGTGCACAGCTTTATTATCGTGAGAAAATCTATAAAAACACGTTTAACGAGTCGAGATAAAATTAATATTAGGTAAATGCGAGCCGAAATAATTGCGGAATAGTTTAATTAGATTTGATTACAAAGTTAATGGAACAACGTCAACGGCGTGGAAAATATTGGCACGATACGTATTTCGTGTAACTATGCAACGCGTTTAAGCCGGAATTCCTGTTCTAATGAGTTTTGCCACCGTAACAATGACGTGCACGTAATTTCCATATATTCCCTTGTTACACGAGATTTTCTCGTCCCAACGCGCGAGATCATCACTACAAATTTTCTTTCCCAAAGTTGTTTTTACCAAATACAGAAATAAGACGTTTCATCAACGAGTCGATTAACAGCCGTTGTAATTGGTCGCAGGTTTCACGCATTTGTACAAGAATCGAATATGTAGAAAATCCGGATCTAAATTTTTACATTGCCGCGATGAACGTTCCCTTTTACACAAAAGTCTGCAGTAATTAAAATTGCCACGTATGAACGAGAAGGAGAGGGTGAACGCGGTAGAGACGTAGAATTGGCGCAGCATTCGGAATAAACTGCGTGGCAGGCGTCGAAATTATTCGTCGGTAATCCATGGGGGCTTTTGTCAGGGGATTACGCTGTTCCGGGAAATTTAATAGAAAACTCTCGATGCGAGAGCCCGAATTCGAGCGTCCTCGCCCACGCGTGGCCGACACTTTCAAGCCTCGACGACTGGCTGCCTGGTCGGAAGAGATACGCTCCCTTGTACAAGTGTCAGGGGGTGGAGGAGGGCGGCGATTCCTCCCCCGTGTGTACGCGGCCCCCCGGAATATCGATCTCCTCTTTATTGCACCGGCAAAGAGGTGGGCTCGAGGAATCACACCTAACCGTGTGCTATCCTCGTTTAAACGTAATTTTATTCCGCTCGAATCTGGGATAGTTATCACGCGATTCGGAATTCATTTGCCTCCGATAGCCCATTAACACAGTTTAAAACTTCATCCGAAAGCGCTATTTCAAACTTATAATAAAATAACTTAGAACCTATTATATCCCGTAATATAAATTTGCGCGCGATAAAAAATTATATCTGCAATTACGATGTTCATCGAAGAATACGCTCCACTTGTAAATTGTAATTAGACAGAACGTTACGGGCGTGCATTAATGTCGAGTCAACTAATTATTGAGTTTCCGCAATGATACCATATCGCCAGTAGTTAACACTGGACAATAATTATGCCGGTTATCGTGGCTCTTAAATTGCGTTGCATAAATAG